GTAAATTGAAACGTCCTTCCGAAGCGGGCGATGAGATTTCGATTCCGGCTGCCGACAGCTTCTTACGGGCGACCCCCCAAACAATCTCTTTCTTTCTCTTTTTTGTGCCGACACCCGCACACTCGGGCTTCACTCCACTTCAAGGCTCAATCGATTCTCTTCCTTCACGCACAAAGTTGCTCACCTTGCCTTCTCCTTCTTCATCTAGGGCGCAACATCGCCTCCTCTGACTTCGAGTCAAAGCGCCACATCTGATGCTACCTCCAGAGGAAACGAGTGCCTCTCCTTTCTTTGAACATTGAACCTCTTGATTAGGATTTTCTCTTTTTTTTTCCGCCTCAGTGTCGCTCGGTTCTAGTCAATACTCACCAGGTCATCTTCCATCGACTAGGGTTCAATAGCCTCCTTTCTTCCTTCTCCTTCCTTCTTCTTCCTTTGTCTCTTGCTCTCCTCTCGTTCCGTTTGAAATGAAATGATACATTCCTTGACTCCTAAAGATGAACCCATACAGATATGTCTATTCAATAATAAATATTTATTTATTTATTAAAATTTCAGTTATTACAGCTTCAGTGATCCATTGTGGCAAAATCTCTAATTTTACTATGATCTCATCTTCACCTTATGAGAAAATTTTATGTAGTGGTGATCTTATTGAAATCTTTAGCATTGCAATACTTTCACTTTATTATGAATAAAGACATTTAAGATATTGAGAATGAACCTACTTTTATCCCGCAGTATAGATGGAAGCTATTTCTATTAATAAAAAGTAGCATTTACATACATACCACACAATTGTATTTATATAACACCTAAATTTTTATATTTTCATGCATAACCCTCAAAATTTCAATATCAAGTCAAAAAAACATATTTCTAGTTTTCAAAAAGTGAAATAAACATTTTTATGTATAGATTTATGACACCAAAGTGTTATAAATATAAATATTAAAGTATGGGTGCTAGATATGTAAATATATAAGAATTGTGTGCCATGTATTTATATCCCTCTAATAAAAATTACTTAAACGGCATTTTTCTCTTATTGCCTTATAAGGAGTGTTTTAGTCATTAGGTAACCTACAAGTTAAGGTGTTCGCCTGTAAATATCCAGTTCTCTATTTTACATTCCTTTTTCCTTGAAAGTGTTCCTTGATCAAGTCAACTACCAATTTACTTCTCGGTGCAAATTTGGTGGTTGGAATTCCGGTGAAGTCTTTATTTCTGAAACAGGAAACATGAAGGGGAAATCATCTGGCATTTTTTACAAGGCGTTGCTATTTTCAACCAGAAATGAGTAAGAAAATTAACTGAATGATGTCTAATACCTTTCTGGATAGAAATTGTTTAGGTCAATCTTAGCTATGGTTGTGAAAAATATTGAATTATGCCAAGAGCTGTTTTAGACAAAATGTAAAAAATTCTCTTCGAATTTGATAATTCGTACTTGCGACACCAGTTTTAATAAAAATCAAGTATTTTGTTTTTAACTTCATAAAGACAATGTTAGCAAGACAAATGCAAATTGCACCAAAGAAAATTTGAAAAAGATGAATGAAAAGAATAAACTTGTCATATTAATCAACCCCGAAAAAACACAGAGTAATCAAACATTAGAATATCAAAATGATGGTGAAACCAAAAATGGCTAATTTAGAAAATTTTAAAATTTCAGAATTCCAGCTGACATGCAAAATCACAACTTTCTTGCCAAAAAAGTTATGTTGCTACGAACAAAGCATGTTTCTTCAATGCTCATACAAAGAGAACATCATGCTACAAATCCAATCGCAGTAAATATATCAAAAAGTTTGTTTTGCTTAAAGCTCTGCATACCTTGTTTGTTATATCTCTTATTTCTTCATCATTATGGCAAGAACTGTAGTGATGATTACGATTACGCCATGGATGGCAAACACTATAAGATACCGATTGATTTTGGCTAGGAAATGCCAATCTCAAAATAGGGGGCCAAGGCTGAGACAAGTCCCGCAATTTTAGTCTTGGTGCATGTTCTTCCCTGAAGTTTTTGAGGAAGGGGGAAAAGAAATTTTAGAAAAAATAAATAAATACTACAGATAACAAAAAATAATAATAACAATAAAGTTAAGAAAGGATGAATATCAAAGAAGATAGAACATGAATAAAGATAGACCAAAGAATAACCATTTTCAACTAGTATCACAGTCAACAACAAATTTATGGTTCAGATTTTTTGCTGTCGATAAATTCAGAGCATCTGTAGATCCTACTATCAGAAAAAGTCCTAATTTCAGTAGTGTCGTGCTGCCGCACAAGGCAACAACGTGACTATTTTGCTTGGTCCCTCTGCACAACTGCACAAGTCATTAATACGCTTCACATGAAACTAATTAAACAGACACTGGGTGTCTTCTTTTTATTTTTAATTCACTCAACCTCAGAAGGAGCCAAAAGGGCAAATTTGTTAAAATTGAAATTCAAAAAATGAAACTGCCTGGTCCAGAAAAGGAAACCAAAGATGCAAAAAGAAAAATATAGTCTTGATTAATTTCAGCAGCTTAATTCAAAGACATCAATTCATCCGTTAGAATTAATACCTAGGTTTTCTGAAGCACTGTTAGACTACCTGAGTCCTTAGTCACAAGGATGGGTTTTCTGTATCATCTAATCGTCTTTATTTATCATTTAAGTAATTTATTAGATATTTAATACATTTAGGACCAGTTGGACAAGTTTATATTTGTTGAAGGATATATATATATATATATATATATATATATATATATATTTATATATAGATATAGATATATAGATAGATAGATAGATAGATAGATAGATATAGATTTTTTTCCTTTTCCTTTTTTTTTATAAAAGAATGGTCGGACATTGTTATACGAGCTCCCACCCACCATCATGTGTCTAATTATTTAAGGACCGCCCTCACTACCGGCAAACAGGCCAGAGGAGGATTCGAACCTATGACCTGAGGGGACTTACGACCTTCGAAGTGGTTGCTCTCCCAACAAGCCACGGTTGGCCGCACATATATGCGTGTGTGTGTGTGTCAAAGATTTAGAAAATTGGATCAGTCAGTTCGACCGTGAACTGGTAGCTAGTCCGAAACATATAAAAACCCTTTCTAATTGTGAACCGCCCAAAACTGGTGGAAGAGGTGATTTGACCTGTAGACCGACGAACCGATCAAATCACGGATCATGACCGTGCGACCAGTTTTACACAATCCTGAGCAGTGTAAACATGTCACGTCGCAGCGTAGGAGCGTTGCTCCCACATAGGCTTATGTTGCAGAGCTTTACGATCATCAGATCCTAGCATATGGGATTATTAATTGTTATTAGTTAGTTCATTTTATCTTTGTCGTTATTACATCATTATTTTATCATTAGAACATATTTAATTAATATTTATATTTATTGTGTCATTCGATTCAATCGTGGTTGAACCAGTGAACCTTGAAATTTTTTTTTGGGTATTTCATATCTGTTTCAATTTTTAAAACCTTTCGTCCTCTTTAATATTTAATTCATTATAAATATCACAAAAAACATAATTCTTAGCATCACAAACTGTTTTCTTAGACCAACTAAGAGCCACTTTATATTTAAACCTAAGTTATCAATCACAAACTGTCGTTTGGTGCATTCACAGTTTTTGAGCTGTCGGTATTTGAATTTTGGGGACCCTTTCCAGTTCTGATGCAGCAGCCCTTGCACATTTTTCACTATATTCAAGTCATATAATGCGTCGCTATCAGGACATGCCCTAGCATTTACACAATGATTAAACAGATTCATGTCGTAATTTTTCAAAAAAAAATTTAAGCTCGATCCCGACGACCTGAAGCTACCCTTCACTTTTGTGGTGAAAAAATTACGAAAGTAATATGACAAAAACATGTAAAATGCAAAGAACGAAACCTGCAATCCTACTAGATAATGACTAATTTTCAAGAAAATTAAAAAAAAATTCTAATTCCATGCATCAAGCAACATGTGTAGTTAAATTCATTAAACCCATGATACAAACATATGATAGCGAAATTTTACAAGATGTTAAAGAAAAAAAGCTAAAAGACTAAACCAATAAGAAGACAAATTCACATTCCAAGCAATTTTTCCAAGAGGTTGAAATTCACCAAAGAATACACACAAAGATAATCGCCGTGCAGTTAACTTTTATAGAATTGCTAACAAGAAAATTTTTAAGAAAAATGGGTGATGCAGGCGCACGAAAAAAGTCGAGGGCGTGGGTGTGCCTAAGCACGGCTCGGAGGCATCGTGTCAGCGCGAGCACCATAACTGTTGCATGCCTACCGGCTCTGCTAAGATGGTAGAAGGATCGAGTAGTCCTTCCTTGCGCACGGTTCCCTCCATTTGGAACAAAGTCCACTTCTCTTTATCCTACGAATATATATATATATATAAGAAAGAGCTACGCGTGGCTCCTTACGTGTTAATATCAAAAATGGTTGCAAAATAAGGGAGGGAAAGAAGACCCCCGCTAAAAATAAAGAAAATACATATACTTCTAAGGGTTCTTCCTTCCGCAGTACAACTCCACCCAAAAAAGAAAAAAAGATGAAACAAAGGTAAATATAATTCAAAAATACATGTATCCAAACAAAAATTATACTCAACAAATGAAGTATACCCTCATATGAACATGTATAAAAATTGAAACAAAAGTAGCGCAAGTTGCTAACCAAAAACAAACGTCCTGAAGGCTAGAAAGAGCACCACCAAGCATATCCCAAAATGCAAATACCTGCAGCTCAAAAACTGTGAATGCACCAAACAAGCAAGAAAACATGTGAGCAAGGAAGATAGAGTAGGATCCAAGCTCTTCCAACCCCCCATCCTGAAATGCATAGAACAAATAAGGAGCCACGGTCCTGCCCAGGACATAGAGTGAAAATATCGTAGAAATTTGGAGCTAAGAGCCTCCATAACGAAGTGATTAAACCCATTCACCAGAAAAATGTAAAGCTGGAGCAATAAGCAAAACCTCCAGTAACCATTCTCAACAGTATCCCCAATAAAATAACTGCAATAGATCCCATATGTCAGATCTCCACGTAAGCCTCCCGAAGCAAAAACCGTTTACCAGGACACCAAAAGGTATAAGAGGAATCTAAAGTGTAGTATAAGCATTCCTCCAACCTTAAAAACAAAACACAAAAAAAAAGCTCCCCAACCGTAACCAAAATAAGAACCCATGGGCCTTCCATATTATTCATCACATACGAAGTAATGAAGCCATGGGCCTCCATGCAAATTTAAAAAAACCATCCACCATAAAAGGATGTATAGTTGTTGCTTGCCCCACCTATTTCCTGAAACAGCAGGCAACCAAAGCACCTCAAGATAATTTAAGAAGAATAAAATTAGCCCAAAAAACAGCCCGAGCAGAAACATATCACCCAGCCAAAGAAAATAATCTAAGAGGAACCATCCCTACGAATATAAGGAGCATTTTATCACCCACAAGAAGAAATTGCTAAGAGATGGGGGGTAGATCCCACCCTACAAATATTAGTGGCACTACCTAAATTAGCAAGTCAATTAGCAGGTTGGTTCCCTCACGGTAATTGAAACTCCACATAACATTCATATTAGAGATTAAACATTTAATCCTCTTAACATAATATAAGATATCCCAAGGGGTTTCGGCACCATTAGCCAAAATATCAACCAAGATGCGATTATCACACTCAAAAATAATAAAATACCAGCTGAGAGAGTGAGCCATCACAGCAGCCGTTAAAATGGTCCGAACCTCAGCCTCCATGGGAGTATCAGCATAAAAGGGAGATGAAAAGAAAAGTATACAATTCTCTGCATAGTTTCTAGCAATGCCCCCACAACCAGCACTATTAGTTTTCAAACTCTCATCCGTGTTAAACTTTATCCATCTCCTAGGAGGTGGCTGCCATCTAACCAAAACCGGTAGTTGAGGAAGTCTCTTCTCATCCAAAAGACCATATGCCCCATAGAAAGAAAATAATTGATGCCCGAAAAGAAACATTTTTTAGAATTCCTCATTCTTCACAGCTTATTAATGTAGGCAATAATATTAGTAAAGACCATCGTATTCTGAATGGTCTTTCCTTCATGAATAATATCATTACAAGCAATTCAGATAAACCAACATATAATGTAAGGGTAAATTTGAAAAAAGCGTTTCTGCTTACGGTCCAGATTACAAATCATAGTAGTGAGCAAAAGATTCCTTTCAAGAGTGAAGATAGTGCCAAACCACAATCCAACCTTCCTCCATATAAATAGTGAAAAGGGACAAGAAAAGAAAATATGCTCGATAGTCTCCTCCGCCGAATTACACAAACAACAACGTGAGGCGATTCTCAAACCTTTTAATTTTAATATATCATAACATGGTATTATAGAATGGAAAATGTGTCGCGCCGAGAAAGACAGAGGGAGTTAAAGCCCAACTCCACACCACCTCACCCCAAGGGAGCTCTTGAAAATTATGTAAAGAGGAATATAAGGATTTAGTAATGGAGCTTGTCATAGGAAATTTCAAAGTAGGAGTATCTTGCAAATGAGGCTCAATAGGAATGGTGGAAATGAAGGTAGCTCCCTCCATCCCCAAAATGCTAATGAGAATAGGAAAATTCCAATGACTTGAGACTGGAATACCTTGTATCCCTCATATCAAGCAAAACATGGGACCAACAATCATGCCAGAATGAAATATTTCCACTTCCCACCTCCCAGTAAATAAAATTTTTCGCTCAATCTCTAATATGAAGCAATCTCTTCCACATCGTGGAATCTCCCAACCGCCAATTAATCAAAGCAGGATGAGAGGAGCGACAATATTTCCCCTGCATGAAAATAGCCCATAAAAACTCGCATCTCTTGAAATTAAACCATTGCTTAAAAACATTCATATCAGCAATATGGTGCAGAGATTTGAAACCCAAACCACCAGCATACAGGGGTTTGCAATATCCTTCCAAGGCATCCATCTTCTACCACAGTGATTTCCCACCCA